TCCAGACTATCCTCTACTTTTATGCAAAATTGCATCGAGATCCATTCAGCTGTTTACGCTACAAACTCTAACAAACATCGATCTAAACTTTCGCATTTATAATATTAGTAAGAAGTATAGTATTTTAAGACCAACTGCCACTCTCGTCTTTACTGTACTTTACTCTTCAGAACTGGACCGTTGATTTAGGCAACATATGGTCTCAATAGATTGGACATAAGATGTACTATCGGGGAATCTGGTGGTGTCCCTAATTAGAAGTTACAATTGTTTAAAAGTTTTACATGCATTAAGAAGGCGTGAAAAAACTACTGAATTACTAAAAAGGTTTGAGTTTCTGCGTTTGCGCTTCTGCTACCTACTTGGTTATTTATAAGAAGACTCAAAACTTGAAACAAAAGAGAATTTTAAAGTTGTATACTGCAAAGTGTCCCGACTGTACATACAGAAAACATTACAAAGGGGGTAATGTTACACGTGTAATCTTTACATATAATCATTATGATGTGCGTAATTTGAAAATAATGTAACATTGCATTGATCAAGAACACTGAAGTATATCATATCTTTAAATCTAATTATTTTTATCAAGTTCATGGTTTTAATTCATAATATCATACTTTAAATATCAGATATTGCACGTGAGTTTATCGATATCCGGCATCAGTGATTGTTATTGAAATATCTTTGAGAAAGCGTAATTTTTTTGTTTATTTACGTCATTCATATTAATGAAACTTTCACTATCGTGATCGCAAACATCTAATTATGTTTATTATCTAATCTTCTGAACATATGAATATTTACGCAATCGATATCTTTTATGCGATTCTTTTTTTAAATAACCTTGAATTACAAATGTTTTAACTCCGATAATTTAAAAGCTGTTTTCTATTTTTTTAATTTTAATTTTGTATATTTAGTTATGTCACCATTCAATTATTAATTTCGTCAATTTATAATCAAACTAGTTATAAAACTGATTTTTCAATTGTTTTTTCACTCATATGAGTTTGTATATATGTCAATTCCATAGTGATTATGGAGGTCTATGGCTGACTTTTACAAGTGTTATTTTTATATTGTAGCAAACGAGTAAGCGTACAAGGGAGCACACCTAGACATGCGTTGAAGATTCGTTGCCTTTCGGATGGAGGAGACACAGAAAGAGGATGTTTCCCCCGCATAGATGTCCCCTGAAAGGCAGAATTACTTCCACTTAACGTCTTCCTTGCGCGGTCACTCTGTGAACCGGCTCGCATAAGTCAATGCTGGTCGAGCAATTCCACGAAGTTTTTTCGTGTAACAGATGTTCTTGCTGGGCTCTAGCACTGTTTTTTATATGTAAAAAAGGGGGGCAAACGAGCGATGGTAACACAGAGGTGGTCAACGACGCCCATTGAAGTCCGCAACAGGAACTACAGTTGCGTTGCGGGCCTTTGTGGTAGGCTCGCTTGTCATTCGCTTTTATATTCTTCTGAGTTCTATTGTTATTTTTATTTTTTTTATTAATGAAATGTGTTGTTATTTTTCTTAGAACTTGAATAACATAGATCATATGTTTCCCAGCGTGTCGTAAGTTTCTTACAAAGTTTAAAGCGGGTGCTTAGAGGCAAACTTCGCGCACTTCAGCGTTCGTAGCGACGTAATTTCATTTCACTAATTAATCATACTGTATGGGGATGTATTAAAATAGTTGATGTTGTTTTTGATTAATGGCATTATTACTACATTGTTAACATATATGAACTTGAAGTGGTATAAATTACTTAGGCTATACTTTTGTTTTTGACCGACTTCCCAAAAGGTATTCAATTCGTCGATATGTTTTTTTTTTATGTGTGTTACGGCATAACTCCGCCGCTAGTGGACCGATTTGGATAATTCTTTTTTTATCCGAAAGGTAATGCTTGCAGGTGGGTCCCATTTTTTTCTTTTCTTTTTTAAGGTGTCATTTAAGACCAGTGTTATTCTTAACCTTCAACTAAAGTCTATTTATATGGATTCAAGGTCTACCTGTAAGTTAAAGGTGACTAGACCACGTTGACCCATTGTGGGTTTACTTCACAGATTGAATTTATTCGCCGATATGTACAGGTTTCGCGATATTTTCCTTCACCGTAAAAACGCCGGACAAATGCATTTTTTTTTTCTCGGAATTCTTAATAAAGATACCTTGTCTCCGGATTAGGACATGGTTATGTACGGTTACACCTACTAAAACCCCTCGGTGGCCATCCTCTGGTACTACAAGTGGAGCTTCGGGATCTCCGGTGGAACGCACCGGTGCCCCACTACACTCAGCTACTGCGCTTCCCAGAGAGAATACGCTCCATTTGCCTATAAAATTCTACAACGCATATAAATTAAGTTCATAGTGTTAAGTTCCAGCTATAAAACAGTTTTGGTTGCGGAAATCCAATAGATCGAGTTAGTAAGGTCTCGGCTAAGTTAACTCAAGTTCGACGTATAAGTTGGGTGCAATGTTTACACCGAGCAGTGTGTGCGGTTCTATTGGTTTCAAACAGCTTCTATATTAAGTTTGGATTATTTCATACTATATGTTATTTTAAATGAATAAATAAATATAGCGTAAAGACTAGGTTAAAAGTAGCATAATAAATAAGGGAAGGGTTTAAAATAAAAGTGTTGTAATTGCAAGAATAGTTTCACTCAAAATAAACGCTGTTATTACTTGTTATATTTTGTCTAAGAGGAAATTTGAAAGTAGCGCCAGTAGTAAAGAAATTGAGAAGCAAAAGGTTAGCGTTCTATGGACACGTTATGCGACGAGACGATGGAAACATAAACCAGAAAGTGTTAAGATAATAAATATAAGACCGAAGAAAGTATGGATCAATTGTGTGAAAAAGGATATGCTTAAGAAAGGAGTGGATTCAGATATGATGGCTGATA